GCCCTCTAGCCTGTCCAGATCTCTCTGGATGACACCACAGCCTTCTGGTGTGACAACCACTCCTCCCAGTTTTGTGTCATCAGCAAACTTGCTGACAGTGCTCTCTAATCCCACATCCAGGTCATTGATGAATATATTGCATAGCACAGGCCCCAGTACCGACCCCTGAGGGACTCCACTAGACACAGGCCTCTTGTGGAAAGCCCGGGTGGAGCCTGAGGAGATACTAACAGGGAGATACTAAGCAAGGGGAGGGCTCTGTGTATTTAACACAAAAGTTTCCATGTTTCCAGCCCCTGTTGCAGAGCCGGCTGTGCAGGAGAATGGTGAGGAAAGTGGGGAAGGCAAGGATGGAAAGGATGCAGATCCCAGCTCTCCAAAGAAGTGCGATATTATCATTATCTCTGGCCGCAGGGAGAAGTGTGAGGCAGCAAAGGAGGCACTGCAGGTATGTGGCTTTCTCAGCCCCTTAGCCCTGTAATGTAGTGATGCTCTAAAGCAAGAAGCTCGCTGCAGACTTTAGTGATTATAGTAAAAGCTACTCAGTTGGGTTTGCAATCCAGGTGGTCACTGATGCTAACTGTAGAGGTGGTCTGTACTGCTCAAGGGAAGTCCTCTGCTCTGTGATTTAGCCTGGTGGCTTGAATCATAGTGCTTGGCCTTGCAATTGATAAAGCTTGTAGGCAGCCCTAGTTACTTACCATAAAAGCATGACATGCTTATTTTATCTAGCACTGCTGGAAGGAGGAATCTGAATGAGGCTGAATCATACCAGCTTCAGCAGACATTACCAGGCTACTTTAGTGCATGTTTTCCAAGTCTCTATTAGATGGAAGCCAAGGATATGAAAACAGCCTGTCCCCAGAGGTGGCGTTTAAGATTGCTTGTTTGAAAAAAATGCTGTAATGCCAACAGGTGATCTTGGTGTTTGCAGCTGCTCTCTCTTTCTGTAGAGTTTATATCCTGACTACAAGGGAATGCACCTCAGTTGAGCAGCACATTCTTTTGGGCAAGTATATGGCAAGTTGAAATACAGGAGAAGTCTTGCAGCTGGTAAACTGTGCTGTGTCTCCTGCAGGCTCTGGTTCCTGTCACCATTGAGGTGGAAGTTCCCTTTGATCTTCACCGTTACATTATTGGCCAGAAAGGAAGTGGGATCCGTAAAATGATGGATGAATTTGAAGTAAGTTGTCCTTCCTTCCATCTCCTGGAGAATCTGTAAGTGACCATGTTTATGGTGGTGGCAGTCAGGTGTGACATAGTCAGGATTGTCATGGCTTGACCGTGGAATGAATACAGTCTCTGTGATAAGAAAATAAGATCTGTGTGATTTAGTCCCTGGCTTTGGGGCTCTGTAGGTTTCATGGTGAATCAGCGTTGATGCTGCGAGTGTTGCATGACTTGTTTGGTGCCTACAGGAATTCTTCACCAGTGTGAGTTGTTTCCTTCCTAGACAGTGGGAAACAGCTCTGCTGTGCCTGCCTGTTCAGAAGAATTCCCCAGAAGCCTACAGGTACTCCTGGGGCTGATGCAGGTTGGCTGCAGACAGTGCTACTGAACATGTATTTGTTTCCTAGCCTCTTCTGGCTAGCATAGGGCCTGCTGCAGGATGAAGCCCTGCAGCAAAGCAATCTGATAATGGCTGAAGAAACTGTTCTATTTAAACACTGTCTAGACACCATCCCAGTCAACTGACCCTAGGTGGCCCTCCTTGAACAGGGGTATTCCGCCAGATGACCACCAGAGGTCCCTTCCAACCCCAACCAGTCTGTGATTCTGTGGTTTAGGCTTCTGGGGTGGGAGCTGGTCTTTGTGGTAAGGAGATCAGCAAAATGCCAATCTGCATTACAAGTGTTACAAAATGAGCAGGAATACAAAATTATAATCACTACTTGTTTCTCAGGTGAACATCCAGGTCCCGGCTCCTGAGCTGCAGTCGGACATCATCACCATCACTGGGCTGGCTACCAACCTGGACCGTGCAAAGGCTGGGCTGCTGGAAAGAGGGGGGGAGCTGCAGAAAGATTGAGGGAGCTGAAAGCTGAGCAAGAGGATCGGGTAAAGATTGTGCTTGTCCTTCTTCCTTCCAGCCAAACAGTGCTTCAACCTCTGGGTGTTCTGTCAGAATTTGCACTGGCTCCTTGGAACCCTTTGTCTTTTAAGAGTACCCTTAGGTGCTCTGCAGGTGTGGAGTGCTCATAAGTGGGTTACCCAAATTCAATTCACTTAACGTGAACTGACAGGAGAGTTTGGGAATTCTACTTTAGGTAACTTTGGATTGTCCAGGGCCCTATCACACCTTCATGTACCTTTGAGACACTGCACGGTGGGAATATCGCTATGCTAGGAGTCTCTGTACCTGCTCTCACTAAATCCATGTCACAGCTTTGAATAAATAGGTGGGAGATGAGTTGGATGGTTGTTTACTACTTGTAGTTTCCTAAAAGGACCCCAGCAGACAAATATTTTGGATGCTGCTCTTCTGTTGGGACATATCCTGGACATGGTCCTGCAAAATCTGTTATGCACATCTTGGAAGCCAGAAGGAAGTGTTGGGACTCTGGATGAGGCATGGTGTGCTCCCTGCTGTTGTATCTCACTCGGCTTCTGTTCCAGGCCTTGCGAAGCTTCAAGCTGACAGTCATTGTGGATCCCAAGTATCACCCTAAAATCATTGGGCGGAAGGGAGCAGTGATCACCCAGATACGCACAGAACATGAGGTCAACATCCAGTTCCCTGACAAGGATGATGAAAGTCAGGTGAGAGGTCAGAGGGGGTGCAAGGAGAGCTGCTGGTTGTCTCTGACCACGGGAAGCACATCATCTTCTCTAGGGCTCTGAACTACCTGCACTGCCTTTGGATGAGGTGGAGGGGAAAAGGAGGGAGAAGGCTTGCTCACTTGTTTATGAGCCTGGTCTCACACATTTCCCTGTGCCCCAGGCCCAAGACCAGATCACCATCACTGGCTATGAGAAGAATGCTGAGGCTGCCCGGGATGCCATCATGAAGATCGTTGGTGAGCTGGAGCAGATGGTCTCTGAGGATGTGACTCTGGACCATCGTGTTCACGCACGCATCATTGGTGCACGTGGTAAAGCCATCCGTAAAATCATGGATGAGTTCAAGGTGAGCAGTGGAGTGATGCACCACAGATTGATCTGGGCCTGGGTGGCCAGTGGTGCAGCTTGCTTCTGTGCTGTGCCAAGAGCTTGGTAGCAGCTGTCTAGGGGCTGAATTCAGGCATGTAAGGCTCATATCTTGTGATCCTCGTGGCTTGTGCCTGTTGAGCATGTTCAGCTGGAACAGGCACAAAAAAAAAAAAGAGTGCTGACCTGCTCGCCTCCACCTCTGTCACCACCAGTAGAATCCCTGGGCCAGGGCACCCTGGTATGTGTGGGGCAGTTGGGCTGTCTGGACGCTGCACCCAGACACCAGCTGAAGCATCCCCACAGGACCTTTGGCCCTGGCAGCATGTGGCAGTAGCAGCAGTATGCTTTACTACAGGGGCAGTAGTGAATGTGAATCCAGTTACGAGGTTTTTGAGACTTCCATCTTGGCTGAGCTTAGTTGCTGAAACAAGCTGTTTGGTTCTCTAATGAGCAGCCTTTGATTTTGGTCCCCTCTTGCATGACTTCCCTGCAAGGCAAGCTGTGAGGGGGAGCTCAGTGGCTGTGTATGGGATGCACTAAGCCAGCTCCATAAAGTGATTGTTAGCCAGGATTACTTTGCGGAGGAGACAGAAAGCTTATTGTGCTTTGTGCTGCTGGCTTGATGGTAAAAACGCTTGCAGCAGTGTGAGGACACTGTCTGGAAATGCAGCCCTCTGCTGCAAGTGCTGCCAGAAAGCACTGGGCCTCTAGTCAGTGAGAACAGCAGGGGCTGCTGAAAGATGGGTTGTTACTGCAGAATCTGTTCTGCCAGATATATTCCAGTGTCTGAAGTATGGAGGTCCTAAACAGATTTGTGGCAGTGAACAGATCAGGGCTTTTCTATGGATCTGATGATAAGGATCATGTGGCTTGTCAGGCGTCTGGCTTCTCAGATGTGCAGATGTTCTATCCTGTTCCTTGTGTTGCAGGTGGATATTCGCTTTCCCCAGAGTGGAGCTCCTGACCCCAACTGTGTGACTGTGACAGGACTCCCTGAGAATGTGGAAGAAGCTATTGATCATATCCTGAACTTGGAAGAGGAATATGTAAGTGTTCATTAAATCTGTGCAGAGGCTTAGCAAGGTTTTCCTCTGCCACAGAGCTGGATGTTTGAAGTATCTCCATGTGATATTTTCTACTACCTCATCAGAGAACTTGAGCACTCTGCAAGTGGCAGTCAGCCTGCATCTGAAGCTGCCCCTTAGACCAACTGGGTGCAGAGCCCCAGACTGTACTCTGTGAAGTAGTGCAAGGACTGGCCCCACTGCCCAGGAGAGGATGGTGAATGAGAATGCTGGGACACCACCAGGATGTGCACTTGCTTGCCTTGCTGCAGCTTGAGTCAGTTAGGAGTTGGTGGCCCTCAGACTGGGACAGAAACACTGTGTTTGGTCATTGTAAAAGAGGCTGGTGACCTTGGATGGGTTGCATCATGATGAGATGGTGTTGGGAGGAGGCGTGTTATACCACTTTGAAGAACTATCAAAGTCTACTCCTAACTGTGCTATGTCACTGCAGCTTGCAGATGTAGTAGACAACGAGGCAATGCAGGTATACATGAAGCCCTCTTCACATGAAGAATCCAAGGCCCCATCCAAGGGCTTTGTGGTGAGAGATGCCCCCTGGGCCACTGTCAACAATGAAAAGGTGAGTGCTGCTTCTGCTGCAGGCCTGGGGTACAGGGCATGTGGCACTCTCTCCCAAGGACTTTGAGGTCTGACCCTCCTATATGGACTGGGGAAACAGCACTCCTCCCCTGGTGGCAGAGAAAGCAGTGAAGGGCTCTCCTGCTCTTTGCAGCCCATGCAAAGAATGCTTCTAGAGCACTTTCTTCCACAAATCTTTCTCACACTGACTGCCCCACAAGTGGAGCTGTTGGGCAATGGGGGACCCTTTACCAGAAAGTTTCCTGCCAGGTCATGTTGTTTTTAGGGTTAGGGATGGGGCACTGGGACTTCAGACTCTTCTGCTGCAGCACAGAAATGAGCTCAGCGTTTGCAGCTGTGTCCTGGCTAGGAGCAGAGAGCTGGGATATGTGGCAATTCTGTCCTCAGCTGCCCCAGCGCTGCTGCAGGACTGGCATAAGCCCGCACCATTGAGTGGGTTTACTCCATTGGGTTACTGAGTTTGGACCCTTGGTGCCCTTGATCCGCCTGCCATTGCTCCTATTTGCACCCTCCTAAATGTTATCTCTAGGTGGCTTGACCATCTGCGCTGTGCACTCCTAATGACATAATGATCCTTTTCAGCCCTCATCCATTTTCTCTGCTCGTGGGATGTCAGAAATGCTGCTTAGGTCAGGGGTACACCATGCAGGTGTTCTTAACTTGTTCACTTTTTGTTTGCTCTAGGCCCCTGATATGAGCAGTTCTGAAGACTTCCCCAGCTTTGGGGCTCAAGTGGCCCCCAAGACTCTTCCCTGGGGACCCAAACGATAATGACCTGGAAGCAGAAACTCCTCCAGCCTGCTGACCTGACACTAACCTGCCACAAATACTTCCTGTCTGAAATCTGACCCAGCGGCTGGAGCACAAGTCAATTGCCCTAAGAGGTCTCCTAATGGTGTCTGGAGTGCTAGACCCCATCCTGCTCCCTTTAGCTATCTCCATGGCTAGGACCCACCCTCATCTCTTGATGGATATTCTTTCCTCTTTTGGAACAAGACTTCAACTCAGATTCAAACACTAAATGTGTGTGTTTTTGTTAGAAACTTCATAATTGACTCAAAGTGGCTAAGATTTGCAGCTTCCCAAGCGCTGGCAGAGCAATCTGCTCTCTTGAGCATGTCTTACTAGGCATTCTCGCCTTCATTAGGAGACCTCCTTTACTGTGGCTAGGAATCTACTTCCTGTCTCATGACCTCAGGAAATAAATTTCCTTGACTTTCTAAAGCCAAAACGTTTGCCCTCTTTCCTTTGTGTTTATCCGAGGCCTTACCTTACTGTTGTAGAGTGCAATCAACTTTTTTCCTTTTAACTGCCAAAAATTCATTTAATGCTGAGAACTGACTACGAGGAGAGCTTAAAATAATCTACAAGGTCAGAAACTTGGTTTTTTAGAGGAACAAAACCTTTCAGTAGGCTATAGAGGCAGCAGAGATGGAAGGGACCAGAACAATGTATGGCTACCCTGGTCAGGTAAACACCACTGAGTGCACTGCGACATGGGTGCACTCCTGCACCATACCAAGCCCAGCCCCAGCCTGCACGCTTGACGAGTCTTCCAGTGTGTGATGACAGATCCTGCTCTTAGTTCCCCATATTGCCTTGTTCACCCTTCCCAGCAGCCAACTGCGTGAGCAGGCAGGCGAGCCAACACATGACAGTATTACCAGATGGGACAGATTTGGGTCAGCCAAGGTTGCTGTAGTGACATGGCCTGGGAGAAGCTGGTGTGATGCACAGCCTTGAGAAGCTATAGTCCTCTGCTAGCACTGCAGTATCTAGGCATGAGCAGTAGGGACACCTATTACTGTTGCCTTCTTTCTACCTCAAAAGTCAGTACGATGGTGGCCTCTCAGTGTGAGTAAACAGCTGTTCCAGCTCTTGCCCTGGCATCCAGAGCAGAAGCGTGGAGGAGAAGCAAGAGGAGCCTTTTTTCTCCCGAGTGGCTGTGAAAGCTTCTCTGGAGGGAAGTTGAGCATGACAATGACGAAGCAAGCTTTGAATCAGAGAATTGTAGGACTGCTTGCTGACCTATAACAAGCTCAGCCCCAAGGCCATAGGCAGTCTTCAGCTGCAGAGGTGGTGAGCCAGGCTTCTGCTCTGATGGCATTGGGGAGCTGATGGTGTAGTGCATTGATCCCTCCCCAGGGCCTCCATCGTAGAGGTGGTAGAGGGTGATCCATGCTCTGTACTCGGGGCTGCTTGCACCTAGGCCCTGCTACCGCTTGCTCAAGGGAGGCTGTGTCCAGTTCGTCCCGCCAGTAAGAGGAAAAACACATCTTTGTGGAGGGAGGCAGGGACTGTGGCATTTCTGTGTTTCCTCCTAACCCTGCCTCAGTCCTACAGAGATCATAGTCTGAGCCATTCCTCTATCCCAACTGCTTCAGCTCTTGGACAAGCAGGAGTCCCTAGCCTCTCTTCTCTAGTGCTGCTTATGGAGTAAAGGTCTAAAACCTCTTTACAAGCTGAGCCCAGCCTTTACCTCTGTCCAGCAGGCCTGACATGCTGATGCTGCTTCTTCCTGCACCAGCTCTTCCTGGAAGAGGCAGAAGTTGAACCAAAACTTCACAGTATTCTCTGCAAGTCTGAGAAATTACTGAAGCTGACCACTACCTGTTGCAGGGCATCTGCCCTGCCTCCTACAGAGGGAGACAGAGCTAGGGTGACACCCTCCCATCTGCATTTGTCAGAAAATGGTTATTAACAGCTGTAGCTTAGGTCTGTCCTACATCACCAAGCCTATCGACCCCCCTCTTTATTCCCCTCCTGTGCCCTCACCAGTTGCACAGCTAGGCTTGAGTTACATTTGGGACACCATTGTCTGGGCTCATGCCCCATAGCCTGACCCTCCACTCTAAAGAAGGTCATGAAGTGATTGTACCTAGTACTGTCCCCACCACCACCCTCCTTCCGCAGCAGGTTGTGGCATGTGTCCGTTTTCTCTTTGACGTCTTCCATATTGTACGTTTCCTTAGCAATGATCCCTTGGCCTTAACTTTGGAATTTGGAGACTATATGCAAACATGTAAAAAGGCTCATGAGTATGGATGACACTGGAATTTTATAAATTCTAAAATAAAACCTGAAAGAGCTTGGAGTGTCACGGATATTATTTCTACTGGTGGGTTGAGATGTAAGGCAGGCCTTACTTGACTAAGTTTAAGCCCGATTTGAGGCATTCTAGCTTGCATGTGTGAGCCTCTGCTGCAGCACTGTCCTTGCTGAGCTGGGACTCGCACAGCAAGCAGCTGGGTCTTAGGGAGCCACTGGCCTGCTCACACCCAGAGTCCAGTTCATGCCCAAGCACTCATATGTCCAAAAGATGTGGCAAACTGAGCTCCCTCAGTTCTCAGTTTTGGCAGTGGAAACACCTCAAGAAGCCAAGGTAGGAGATGGGAACCTCATGCAAAGGCTGATAGTGACTCGGACACATGGGCATTGAATAACAAACCAGAAAGATGCATTTAGTGGCATTGATAGGGCAAGAACAAAGTTTGGACTTGATGATCTTGAAGATCTCTTCCAACCAAAACTATTCTATCATTGTGCAGAGGCCATGGGACAAGGAGGGTGTTGCAACAGCATGAATGGTAGTTAGTCAGGGAGGACACTGCACATGCAGTGAAAGGAAGTACTCTTCAGTGCATCCTCCGTCTAAAAGAGGAGTGCAAGAGTCTGTGTCTCCATCATTAACATATTTTGTTACAAAGACCATTACCAAATAGGGGCAAGAGCTGCTGGTTCAGTTTTTTTGCTCCTCAAATCAGATGCTTGTGTTTTAGCTGACTTGATAGTCACATACCAACAATACTGGATAAAAGCCACCAGCATTACTATCAACAGCAAGGACTGTCAGCCAAGGTTTAAAAAAAAAAAAAAAGCCAATAAAATAACATCATCAGTGACAACAGAGCAGGGTAAATGCATTCTCATTTCTCAAAATCTTTAGGGAGGGGCTGGCCCAGTTCATTACCACCATCAAAAACCAGCCTTTTACACTGGTGGCACTTCAGGCTGGTGGACTTTATAATGTGTTTCTTACCATGGGACCTCGAGAGCATTTGTGAAGTGAAAGACATGTTTGTTTGAAATCATATGAAATCTATCTCCTCTAGAGTAGGTCCATTCATTTTCAATAAAAGTCAGAATGTCCACCGAGCCTTTCACCTTCACGTCAGGCAGTGATGATGTTCAGTATGATCATTGAGGCACTGCAGGCCACAGGCCAGCTGCAGGCCACCCAGCACTCCTGTTCTGGAAAAGATCTGGAAGCAGCCTCACCTTCAGCCTCAGGAGGAGTAACACACCTCAGCATCAGTTGTGCTTTGCTCTGACAAATCCTGGGAAAGCAGGAGGCAAACAAAGCCACAACCAGCAATAAAGAATCTATAAGCATGGACTAGACCCCTCACCTCCTCAAGTGTAAGCCACAGTCCCTAATGTCACTCCTTCTGATCCCTTTCCCACCTCAGTCTATGGCAGTATATTTAAACATGGAAACCCTACCACTAGTGGCTCCGTTAAGGGCAGTAGCTTATCCAGACATGTACATTCCCACACTGCTTTCATACCTCAAGCTATTTGTCCTCAATCCTGTAATAAGCTTGTAGCTGCATTTAAAAACCATAAAAATTGCTACAGAAAGACTAACCTCCCCCTATTCCCCCACAGGTGTCTCTGATAACCTGGATGGGTGTTTCTATAAGCTTCTTCCCCACATCAACACCATCACTGTCTTTCACCTTTTTACAGACCACTGTTGAGTCTGGATCCAGAAGTGATGTCTGCAAGATGTGTGACCAAGTCAGTATCTCCAAGTGGCTTCAATCTATTGCAAAGACTTGCTGGCAAAACCTCCCTCATAAATTTCAGACACAAGCACAAGCAAGTCTCTTGTGTTAAGATTTAATAACAATAACAACATTTCAAAAACAATGAGTGCATTGTACACAAGATCTGGTGTTCAGTGCTTTTTATTGACCATTTGCTTTGTGAGTGGTGGTGTACTGAAAACCTGGGGCACAGTAAGTGGATAAAAAACCCAGCTGGGACATTTCTCCAAGGAGGGCAAGAGTGAGAGGGCAGTAGGAGATTCAGAATCGAACAAACGTGGCATCAATCTGCCGGATAGTTGGGAGGGCCAGCATGATTTTGCGCCGGTACTGAGGATCCTTCTGCAAGGGATTTCGCTCCAGATACACGGTTTCCAGGTTCTTTGCTCCTTTCAGCTCATCCAGGTCACTCCAGCTCTCAACGAGATTATCATTCATCTGTAGAGCACATATAGGCATGCTCACACAAACAGATACTTCAAACCTAAGCCTGGTTAGCAGGAATCTAGCCACACCACTGCTGCTCAGAAGGATTACTACTACCCAGAGGCAGTAATGCTGTACAGTCTTCAAACACATAGATGATGACCCTGTCTACATGATCTTTCTCCTCCCAGAACCTCCAAGATGTGCTTTCCTCTCAGACACTCCAGGCCTCACTAACCATCTCCACCTTCCCCACACTATCCTGGGGCTTCCAACAGCATATCCAGTCCAACTAGTAGTCTGGGAAAGAGGCAGCAAGACACCAAGTCTCTTTAGAATAGTGTCCCAGCCGATACACTCTTCATTTAAGGGTAATACTGATATCAAGATTTTGTTCCACTGTGACATCTATCTTCATTTTCATGACTTCCCAGGAAACGTTAACTGATGTGAAAAATGTCATTTTCCTCTCCCCTTTACGTCACCTCCCCACAAAAACTGTTTCTGTACTCTGGAGAAAGCATGAAGCTTACTGATTCAGGTTCACCTCCTGTCAGCCCAAGAGCTGCCTCCCTGTTGGCACTGCAAATGAATCCCCATGCAAGGGGATGATGCTTCAACTGACTGGCAAGCAAGCAAAGTGTACAAGGTGGCCACATGCTGTCCAACCTAGAGACTGCAGTCTGCTTTTGGATACAGAGGCAGTCACTACTGCAATAGTGCCTTTAAAATAAAAAGAAAAAAAATCCATGGATTGGCTCTGGCCCCCCTCAACTGTTCTTCCTCACATCAGGCACCCATGGCAAACTGAAAAGTGTGCATCCTGTTTGCTGTGTGGCAGATAAACAGCTTTGTTTTCTCCAGCTGCCTCCCTCCAACTAGCTCTGTGAAAGAAATCTGCTTTGTCATTGCGACTGCCAGTGTTGAAAATGTCTTTGTAGTTAAGATCCTGAACTAAGACGTCAAAAAAAACTTT